GATGGAGGGTAGGAACATACAACTTGTGGAAACGTGCCTAGTTTTAGCTTCTGCAGTCACCTTGGCATCTGGAAATGTAGACTTCTTCTTTCAAGCTGTTACTAACTTTGCAGCTGGCTGTGTTATTTATATGAGATGACAAGACAGACTCTTCAGGACTGAAGACTTTAATAAATTTATCAATTTACCAACTGTCTTGGGCTAAAGTCTCTATGGAGAGTGGTGTTATTAATTCTCTTTTAGATAATTGGCTTGTATGAGGATTTATTTTGTGTATCAGTGTAGAGTAATTTATGTTTAGTGAAGAAGCTTGGCAAGGTGAGAGAGCATGGGGCTTTAAAACACAGAGACAAAGGTTCAAATTTCAGTTCCACTTTGTCTGGGATGCATGGCCTGCAGAGAAATGCAGAAATGTCCTAAGAAAGATGCATTATCTATTAGAAACATGAGCATAATAACTACTCAAACATTGTGTTGGAGTCAAGGAAAGTAAGTCACACAGCGTAATTGTTGGCATACAGCAGACATTAATAGAACAATTATTTGATACATTAGTTTTCTTCTAACTTCCAAGAACTTAGATTTCTCCCTCAACTTTTTGATTCCCCCCAAATCATGGAAAACAGAAGATCTCAATGGCGGCAGCTATCAATTTCCACATTCTTTTCCTTTCATTTTTTTCCACACACCCAAACTCTTTTCCCTAGAGAATTGAACATCAGAGGTAAACTATAGGACAGTTATGAACTTTCATTGCCATTTAATTGCATATACACTTTTCCTGCAGCCTCTGTGCTGGGATCTATATGCATGATCAAAAGAGACCATCCTATAACCCCTATATTTCAGCTCAGGAGTACAACACAGGTAACATATCTTTTCACAGATGCACAACAAACAAGTACTTCCCACCCCCAGTATTCTGTACATAGGCTGCTATTCAGTTATATGATTTTGTAATCCTATCAAGGAAAACTGAACATTCTGAGACTTAGAATGAATTGGAGAGACTGTGTTAGCTTCCTGATCTAATACCAAAGACATGAGAAAGTCAGTCTGTCACGTTAAATTACCAAGTATTAAAGTGTGCAAGCTACATCATGTATTAATATTTTGCAGGAACTTTTATTGTAAGATGATTCTCCAGCCATTTCTTTGTGCTATTTTTTACATGCAAAAAAGTATGAGGTGAAGGAATGAGACCTAATGTTATTAATGCAGAAATGGAATAGACATCCTTGTATAAGAAAAGATGAATCATACATTATTGAGTGAAGTGACAGACTTGGAAAAGGAGCTGAAAAATGAAAAAGACACTAAAATTCACCTAAGATTAAAGCTACAGAAGCGTGGGAAAGCCTTTCTCAGTAGAATAAATCATAGGAGGTACCTTTAAAAAAATGATGGCTATTAATTTCAACTCAGAGACCTTTAAGTTAATTACTTAAATCATTGCCACTATCTTCCATACCCTCTTTTTTTCTGACATTGCTACCGCATTCATTAAAAACATACCAGGGTCACACTAAGTGGCTGTCAGTCATCACAACTTAAACATGGTGACCTATAACTTCAAGACAGATGAGGAACTGAGCAAGAAAGATCAGAATTGGAGAACAAATTGCCAGCTGGCTTGGAAATTTGGGGATTGCCAGGAATCTCACTGAGAAACTGAATTTATGTGGTTAGCATACAAGATGTTCTGGGTTTTGTGCCCTGCATTAAAGCACATCTGAAGTAGACATATGCTTACCATGCAGCCCTGACCAGCAACATGAGCACACAAAGTAAGTGTGTGCAACAGCCCCAAAGCAAAAGCACCAAACAGGTTTTCAGTTGAATCAACCCTAGTTTTAAATTCCATTTCTGTCTTTTCATAGATTTTCGATCCTTAGCAGATGATGGCTAATCTTTAAGGCTTACTTTAATTTTTGGACTTTGTCAGTATTTGCCTGTTATATGAGTTTGGGCATAAAGAATTGGAAGATGTCAGGTGATCGGTCTGAACTGTTCTTTATTTTCTTTTCCTAGTATTAGCACTGAGGAGGTGGTTGGCAAATATTGTAGACAGAAAATTGAATATATAACTCTTACAATGCTTGAGAATGAATCTTAGAAACATAGAATATACATAAAAATATAAATAACAACAAGTATTTAATATACATATAAATATCATTAATAGTAACAGCAAAGGCAATATAAACTACGAAGTCTGATACTTGGAAGGAATCAATGACCATTGCTTTCTGTTTTCCTTCATCCATAAAAATGGAGGTAGTAATAGATGACCTTTAAGAACTCTTCTTAGCCCTTAAAATTACATAATCTAATAGATTCTGATTCTTGTCATAAGAGAGTGGAGTTTTGTGTGCACCTTCCTACAGAAATACTTAGTTTCAATAGCGCATTCTTTCTGGTTGTACATCAAAGGGGGAATCCAGATGGTTTCCAAAACTGATTTTTTATGTTTAATAATAATAATTAAAAAAATCTCTCTTTAAAGCAAGAGCTCAGGGAAAGTTGAGAGAAAATGAATAGAGGGTGTTGCATGCCATTTTTTAAAAACATGTTACCGCCTTTCCTGGGAGCTGGGACCCTGGAGTTGCTGCCCACACTTTGGCCTCTCTAAGTTTCCTTTTGTTCCTCCTGGTTTGCTTAGCTTTGCCAAGCTGCCATCACTGACCTGGCTTCTCTTTCCTACCAGCCTTTGCTCCTGGAGGGGTCACACTCAGCTTCACTACTTTAGAACTTGCTGGCTAGCACAGTTGTTGAGTACAGAATCTCCTGCACTAAACTTATCAGCACGCCTGTATCAGCAAGCTTCCACTGACCTCCTTGGCTATTCACCTGTGCAGAAGCTGCTGGCTCTAGCTTCCCCGAGATCTTCTTTTTTTTTATATTGGATATTTTATTTATTTACATTTCAAATGTGATCCCCTTTCCTAGTTTCCCTCCTGAAAACACCTATCCCACCCCCCTCCCCCCTGCTTCTATGAGGGTGCTCCTCCACCCACCCACCCTTTCTCACCATACCCCCCTGGGGCATAGAGCGTTCACAGGACTAAGGTCCTCTCCTCCCATTGATGCCAGTCAATGCCATCCTCTGCTACATATGCGGCTGGAGCCATGGCTGACTCCATGTGTACTCTTTGGTTGGTGGTTTAGTCCCTGGGAGCTCTGGGGGATCTGGTTGATTGATATCGTTGGTCTTCCTTTGGGGCTGCAAACCCCTTCAGTTTCTTCAGTCCTTCCTCCATTAGGGTCCCCATGCTCAGTCCAATGGTTGGCTGTGAGCATCCACCTCTGTATTTGTCAGGCTTTGGCAAAGCCTCTCAGGAGACAGCTATATCAGGCTCCTCTCAGCAGGCACTTTTTAGCATCCACAATAGTGTATGGGTTTGGTGTCTGCAAATGGGATGGATCCCCAGGTGAGGCAGTCTCTGGATGGCCTTTCCTTCAGTCTCTGCTCCACACTTTGTATTTCCTTTAGACAGGAGCCCTTCTGGATTAAAAATTTGGTGATAAGTGGTTGGCCCTATCTGCCAACCTGGGGCCTTGCTTAACCTCTGGATATGGTCTCTACAGGTTCTCCCTCCTCTTTGCTTGACATTTCAGCTAATCTCATCCCTGGGTCCTGGGAGCCTCTTGCTTTCCTGGTATCTGGGACTTGCTGGTAGCTACCCCAGGTTCCCCATCCCCCATTGCAACATACCTGTGTTCAAATTCCTGACCCTATGTATATCATCCTTGTCTCCTCCTATACCTGATCCTGCCTCCCTTTCTCCCCTCCCCCTCCTCTCTTCCTCTCAAGTCTGTTACCACCCCTCTACTTCCCCTGAGTATTTTGTTCCTGCTTCTAAGAAGGACTGAAGCATCCTTACTTTGGTCTTCCTTCTTGAGCTTCATATTGTCTGTGAATTGTATCATGGGTATTCTGAGATTTTGGGCTAATGTCCGGTTATCAGTGAGTGCATGCCATGTGTGTTCTTATGCGATTGGGTTCCCTCACTCAGGATGATATTTTCTAGTTCCATCCATTTACCTAAGAATTTCATGAACTCATTGTTTTTAATAGCTGAGTAGTACTTCATTGTGTAAATGTACCACATTTTCTGTATCCATTCCTCTGTTGAAGGACATCTGGGTTCTTTCAAGCTTCTGGCTATTATAAATAAGGCTGCTATGAACATAGTAGAGCATGTGTCCTTGTTATATGTTGGAACATCTTTTGGGTATATGCCCAGGAGTGGTATAGCTAGGTCCTCAGGTAGTACTATGTTCAATTTTCTGAGGAACTGCCAGACTGAATTCCACAATGATTGTACCAGCTTGTAATCCCACCAACAATGGAGGAATGTTACTCTTTCTCCACATCCTTGCCAGCATCTGCTATCACCTGAGTTTTTGATCTTAGTCATTCTGACTGACATGAGGTCGAATCTCAGGGTTGTTTTGATTTGCATTTCCCTGATGACTAAGGATATTGAACATTTCTTTATGTGCTTCTCAGCCATTCGAGATTCCTCAGTTGAGAATTCTTTGTTTAGTTCTGTACCCCATTTTAAAAATAGGGTTATTTGATTCTCTGGAGTCTAATTTCTTGAGTTCTTTGTATATATTGGATATTAGCTCTCTATTGAATGTAGGATTGGTAAAGATCTTTTCCCAATCTGTTGGTTGCCGTTTTGTCCTATTGGCAGGGTCCTTTGCCTTATGGAAGCTTTGGAATTTTATGAGGTCTCATTTGTGAATTCTTGATCTTAAATCATAAGCCATTGGTGTTCTGTTCAGGAACTTTCCCCTCATGCCCATGTGCTTGAGGCTCTTCTCCAGGTTCTCTTCTATTAGTTTCAGTGTATCTGGTTTTATGTGGAAGTTCTTGATGCACTTGGACTTGAGCTTTGTACAAGGAGATAAGAATGGACAATTTGCATTCTTCTACATGCTGACCTCCAGTTGATCCAGTACCATTTGTTGAAAATGCTGTCTTGAGGCGTGGTGGGCGGCAGAACGATGGCGGATGCGGAGAAAAATGCTGTTGCAGAGAAAAACGCTGTTGAGACCAAAGAGGTTCTGGATGAGGCAGCAAGCGTTCTAGAACCTGTAGGCTTGCAGGAGGAAGCAGAGCTGCCTGCCAAGATCATGGAGGTATTTATGAGGATCTTTCGGAAGAAGGACACGCTGCTCTGTAGCCAGCTCCAAGTTGTGAACTTCCAGACCTTTCTGGCTCAGGACGATAATACTGACCAAAACTTAGATGCTTTGGCTTCTGAAGATAAAAGTCGACAAAAGGCAAATGAAACTAAGGAGGAGTGGAAGGACATGAAGATTACATACATGGATCATGTGGATGTCATAAAATGTGCCCTGTCTGAGGCCTTACCCCAGGTGAAAGAGGCTCACAGGAAGTACACAGAGCTTCAGAAGGCTTTTGAGCAACTGGAGGCTAAGAAGCGAGTCCTTGAGAAGAAACTTCTACTAGCTCAGAAGCAGTGGGTGCTGCAACAGAAGCGTTTGCAGAATCTGACAAAGATTTCTGCAGAGGTAAAGAGACACCGGAAGAGGGCTCTGGAGAAGCTTGATGGATCACATCAGGAACTTGAAAACTTGAAGCAGCAAGCAGGACAGGAACAGGAGAAGCTGCAGAGGAAGCAGAGCTACCTCCAGCTGCTGTGTTCCCTGCAGAATAAGCTGGTCATCTCTGAGGCCAAGGCTGAGGACAAAGATGGCAAAGGGCGAGATGTTAAAGGGCGAGATGTCAAAGGGCAAGTCCTTCCACCCAAATCTCTCTAAAGGAACAAAGAAAAACACTGGTTTGCCGTGGAACACCTTTTCTCCTGAGAATGAGAAGTGGCATGATGTGCTTATAGCTTGAGAAGTGAGACGGTTTAATGGTGTCTTCCAGAGCTAAGGAGTAGGGACTGAAGGAAATGTAGTTAAGATTGAAAGCTAGTTACGAAGACTGTTAGCAGATCTTCAGGATGGATGTAGTGAGATGCAGTAAACCTGTACTTTGGCTGAAGAACCTGCAACAAGACTCGGTGGCCTGGATTGCTGACCAATTGCATGGAGATGGACTTTCTGGGAAACCTTAGATTGTTGGAGACATTTATGGGAACAGGAATCTTTCATTAAATACCTCAATATTCAAAAAAAAAAAAAAAGAAGGAAAAGAAAATGTTGTCTTTTTTCCACTGCATGATTTTAGTGCCTTTGTCAAAGATTAAGTGACCATAGGTGTGTGGGTTCATTTTTGCGTTTTCAATTATATTCCATTAATCTTATATGATTATTTTGTGCTCCTCCTTCCAAAGTTTGCTCAACCTCCTCCTCCCCCCCTCCACTTTCCCTATGTTTCATTTTCCCTGGGTCCTGGAAGTTCCACATGTCTCTTCTGCCCAGCAATTGGCTCCTGGATTCCTCTATTGACCAGTAAAAAACCAATTAGGGAACAAGACCTCAGTATTAGTACCTACCCCTACAAGAGAGCTGTTCTGGAGAAAATGAAAATAATGCTCAAACAAGCTAGCAAGAAGATTGGGTGACAAAAATGGTATGGGGTTGATCCTGAGGAGAACACATTCTGGAAAATCACAATTGAAGGAAGAAAGATAATGGGAATGTGGAGGACCTGGGCTCGAAGGGAAGAGACTACATGGAGTATGAGAAAGCAGAGAAAGAAAGGGAAATACAGAAAGCAAGGTAGGATATGAACTGAAATCACTAACAAAGAATGAAAAGGATGAAGGGCAGGAAGAAACAGATTTTTTTTTAATGTGGTTTTCATTTGTGGGATTTAGTTTTGCTTATTTATGTAACTTTCCTGTGAAAGTTACACACCATGGCCTATTTTCTTTGGTAAATGTTTTCTTTGGTAGATGTCAAAAGTCTGATTGGCCCAAATTCTTGTTTTGGTGTGAAGCAGGGGACCCAGAACCTTTTGCATACCAGGCACACACCCTGCTACTGAAGTATACTCCAGAGCCTGCTTTACTCACTTTTAACTTATATTAAGGTATCAAGCAAAAACCAGAAGTCATGTAGAAGGCTTTGCAGTTGCCCATTAATTAATATAACTAAGAGTCACCAGTGAAGGTGCCTTTTTCTTGTGGCCAAATTGAGGGGTCAAGAAACAATGATGGCTTTTAGAGAGGAAAAATTACTATATATACTTCTATATTTGGTTCAGAATTTCAGAAGAAATACATTGTTAGGGAACATGCAGGTAGTTTTCAGGATGGCCCAGGAATATTAAAAATTTATTCCCCTTGGGGAAATGTATAAATATTTATGCTTATGGCTTTCTAAAAAGCAAATTCAAACCAAACGTATGTTAAATGACAAAATTAAATCACATTTCTAACTAAGTCGTTTACTACTCTTTGCAGGGAAATTTTCTTTATAAAATATAGTTTTAATAGCAATAACTACTCGCTTAAAATTTTAGTTATCCGCATCTTCTGGGTACCAACTCTTCCCTGGCATAATGAGATTATATTCCTGCTTTCCTATGGTTCTCTTTTCAGAATCCATTGCCATTTAGTTTTAATATAGTCACTAGATTCTCCTAGTATAGAGCCAAGGACAGCATAATGCTTTTGGTCAGAGTCTGGAATGATAGGTGGGCTGTAATTTGTGAATATTAGTTTGGCAGTGTGTGGAGAAATACTGGTGTCTGCAAATGCAACTTTTGAACTCTGCAGAGTCTCATTGAGGAGTCTGATTTCTTTTTTGAGGAATTTTAAACCTTAATCTTTTCAGTACTCCAATACTCCAGATGATTTCTTCCTTGAATCTTTCTGTAATCCAGATAAATTCTTGGTCCCCAGAAACCAACCAAGTATCTCACATCCTCTTCACTAGTCCTGAGTGGCAATTAGCTGTCCCAGCTCTAATCATAGAAATCAGTATTCTAGATGGCCATTGACATACCAAGAGGGAAGTAGGGGAAGGGAAGACAGAAGAACAGGAAAGATGATAGAAAAGCGAAGAGGTGGAGAGGTGAAATGCCCATTACTGGCTCAACTGTCAACCAGCATTCCTTAAGTTATCCAAGTGGTTCTAATTTTTTATTTTGCTCGAAAATGGTGGTGCCATGTATACAGTCTCACGTAACTTAATTCTTTACATAGAAATACTCCATATACCCTATAGATATTTTCTTTTGGAGACATATTCTCAGGCATTTTCCCCTTTGGCATGTTGATGGTTGGCTGTGAGTTTGAAGTAATAGAATTGATAGCTTTCCCCACCACCACCCTGCTATCCATTTGCTTCACATACTTCAGATAATCTAATTCTTGAGACCAAAGTTATTATGTTTAAACTAATAGAACAAAATCATGTAGTTGGTAAAGATAAGCATTCAGTATAAAATCTGAATAGGGATTACTTCGTAGATTTTCTGGAAAGGGATTAGTTCTTGGGGGATTATGCTCAGTGCTTTTTTTTTATTTTTTTGTTTTTTGTTTTGTTTTCTTGTTTTTTCTTTTTTAGTTCAATACAGAATATTGTAAAGATAAGTTTGTTAACAATGTGCAATGACCACATTTTAAAAAGTACCCATTCATGCCCTAGGTCAATGGAGGAAAGCACTCAATTGCATTCTTCCTTATCCAGTCTCTATCCTGAGGGGGAAGAGGGGAGCTCTCCTTGTCTTTTCTCATTTTCTCTTCTATATTTGACCTTGTCTTTGTGTTTACATAATCTTTATAAGAAACAAACATATCTTTCTCACTGCAAAAAATAACAACAAAAATAGCCCACCTTCTGCTTTTTGACTCAGGATTTCTGCCTTTTTCTAAAAACTGTTATTCTAAGATTCTACTTTTTATTCACTTTTTCCTATCTTTTACTTAGGCCTAAGAAACTTTACTTGATCACTGTTAGAAGGTTTGCCAGAATCATCTCTTCCTATCAAATCTCTCCATAAGTGTTCTTTCTCTCCCCTCTCACTCCCTTCTTCCCTCTCTCCCTTCTTCCCTTTCTCCCTTTTTCTTTCCTTCTTTCCTTACCACCATCTTCCCTTCCCTTCCTTCCTTCCTTCCTTCCTTCCTTCCTTCCTTCCTTCCTTCCTTCCTTCCTTCCTCCCTCCCTCCCTCCCTCCCTCCCTCCCT